GATACTCCATAGAAATTATGTTCTGTCTCCTAACTTGGAACTCTGTTTACAGAAAGGCTGGGCATATTGCATTTGTACTCCCTGTAAAATCCCTTTACATCGTCTAAGTAGCATGTTAGTAGTATGTTGTTACTGTCTATATAACTACATTAAAAAAAATTCCTTTGAAGGAAGCCAGTTAAGAACTCCTCTTCCTCTGCTGAAAATGAAGAAAGCTTTTATAAACATTTGAATCTCTCTCTCTGACAACAGTTTGTTGGTCAGTGGAGCTAGATCCCTGGCTGGTGTGAACTGTAATAGCTACCCCAGTGATTTAAATGCAGTTTATATTGCTTTATGCCAGCTGAGGAGGCAGTCCTATAAGATGGACATGCATAATATAGTGCACAATGTCAATTTTTTTCCATTTTTGTACCACATTGTATCCTGTGGGCCTCATAATTCTCTGATGCTCTTGCAGGTTTGGAGTAGTTCCCCTTTTATATTGTCACTGTAAAACCAATGCAGCAAGAAAAGAATCAGGACTTCCATGTTCATGAAAGCTCCACTGCTTCTTTTTGATTATACCCCTTGAAACATGCATCCTTTGGGAGATGGGCTGGTGCATAGATTTAGTTGTCATTTGGGAGAAGAATAGGTTTGATTGCAGGGTGACTTATCTTCCTGGATGGAATTGGAGGCTGGCATGTTACATTTTCAGGTGGAATGTGAAAAAAGTGGGTGTATCTTATGTTATCTTACATTAAATTATCCAGAAGGATGGGCTAGTGTGCATGCACATGTTTGCTCTTTACCCTGAGGTGCTGTGGAAAAAGACCCAACTAGAACTAAACAAGTTAGCTCAGGTACCAGAAGTAACTTAACCATAGTTACATGGAACTCTGTGCTGAGTAATTTACCTTACTGAGAATTTACTCTGAGTAAACAGGGTAATTTAGCCTTCATGGAGATCTGTTCTTCTGCAGCTAGAGTGCTGCCAATTCCCAAGCTAGCCATTTCTATCTAGGTCAGCTATCTCTGTGCTGTGTGCTACGTTTTGCAGTATAGATGCATCTGATGCCTGGTTTATAGGGTGCATTGACTGGCTTAAGATAAAATGGCTATCTGGTAGGGCTGGTTAGCAGCAGGGTTGAAGTATTTAGAGGGTGAATCAGGACTTTTAAACTAGGGGAGAGGTTTGGTTTGCAACAGTTAGAGTTAAATTGGTTGTGTGGAGCAGTGTGGCTTTGAGGCACACCTTGTATGGCATATTCTTATGGGTACGGTAACCCCAATCCAGCTATATGCACTGTGTCCAAGTAGTGCAATGTGAAAGATGCCCATCCCAGTGGGCAAGAACATATCTTTCCTGTGTCCTTGAGGCTTGGGGACACTTGACTCAATGACACAGGAAAGCTTCTTACTCTTACATATAGTGGAAATTTCAGAATTTTATAACATCTGTTTCATATGGAGAAAGAACACAAGGTTTTGAGCTTATTATTATCCATTTTTCAACTTCTTGGCCTTCTTTTAACTCTAGTTTATCATTGTTAATCACAACTTGTTTATAGAATTGGGTGGGAAATCTCTTGATGCCTATCATACAGTTTCCTCAATATATCAGTTGTGCAGATACCTATTTTGGTCAATCTCGTTACTGTTGCTAGACTGTGATGCCTACCTGAACATCTTTACAGGATGACAGTACTTTGAAAAGGGTTTTGGGCTGTGGCTTCATTGACAAAAAGGTGTTTTTTCCCTGTAGGACACAAGTACTTATTAGCTACCCTGCTGTCATTCTTCATTTGTGTTCAGCAACATAGTGGAGACAAAGCTCTTTACCAAGAGGTAAAAAGACATCACTAAATAAAGCAGGTTAGTTTTTCTGGGATTTGTCTGCTCCACTGGGTGAAATGTTGTCCAGTCATCCTGCCCATTGATCCTGCTGGACAATGGGCAACAAGTTCCCCACTTGCAGAGACCTTGTAAGCAGAGAAAGCTGTCTCCAGCACTGAGACCACACCAGTGTAACAGGCACCCGGGGAATCCCAAATGGGGGAACCCAAGCAGGTGCTCCCAGGGTTTCAGGGGCCCCAGGTGTGCCTGGTGGGGGCAGCTGGAAAGCATGGACAGCTCTGGGCTGAATGCACTCTCCTGCCACAAACCTAACAGACATCTGCCTCAATAAAGCAGCGTAAATTGATACCAGCTATGCCATGGATACAAATTTTGGGCATTTGTGGCATGACAAAGGGAATGAACATTTGTTTCCTTGGCCTTTTTACCACCATTGACATTTTTATGGTGGCACAAAGGCAATATCTGTATCCACTCTGGGTGGGCTCAGTCCTGGGGAAGGGTTCTATTATTTAGTCCATTTAGCCTCATTGTGGTGATCTTTGGGCACGTCTACATGAGACTTTTAATGTGCAATTGACTAATTAACTGCGCAGTAAATGTCTTGGCGTCTACATGTGCACCCCTCTTAGGGCACACAAAACTAATAAACTCCACAGCAGGGCAGTCTTCTAAAATACAAGTACTACCCTGCTGTGGAGTTTTTTTGTGCGTAGCAGTTCACATGTAGACGCTGCCCTGGATGGCTGGGGCACAGGGTTTTTCAGTGTGGGGCTAGCTAGCAGGCAGCCCCCACTCTGAGGCACGCTGTGCCCCAGGCAGATACTCAGCAGCACATGGAGATGGGGGAGGGCAGCTTCTATCCCCCACTTCTTCCCCCATCTCCATGTGTTGTGAGTAGGTCTGGCTGGAGCACAGGGTTTCTCAGCACAGGGGCTGCTTGTTGGCTAGTTCCACACTGAGAAACCCTGTGTTCCAGGCAACCCCCATAGCACATGGAGACTGCTCCCCTGTCTCCATGTGCTGCCGAGCAGCTTCCTGGGGCACAGGGTGCCTCAACATGGGGGCTGCCTGCTGGCTAGCCCCCACTGCCCCAGCCAGCCAGGGCAACATCTGCATATGCAGTGCTGTGCACAAAAAAACTTCAGAGCAATAAGCTCCAGAGTTTATTCGTGTGCATTAATTGCATGTGTAGACGTGCCTACTGTAAGTGCCTTGTCTCCATTTAAGACTATTTGTATATATCCAGGGTGTGTCTGCATGAGATGCTGACTAGACAGTAGCTGAAAAATACTGTGCAGTAGTGCATCACAGGACGGACAGTGATATTAAGCTGCTGCACAGTATTATTAGGCAGTAGTATCACTTATAAGACATTTGCCAGCGCTACTGTGCAGTAACTCTGGTTGCTGTGCATTTATTTAGTACTTGTATTAGCAAGTACTAAATAAGTGCGTAGCAACCAGAGTTACTGCACAGTAGTGCCAGCAAACGTCTTTTAGGTGACGCTACTTGTATTAGTACTTGTATTAAATAACTGCGCAGTAACATCTCGTGTAGACGTGCCCCCATTGTGAGGTCTCTTTCCTATGTTTATCTTGTTATTATTCATGCAGCCTCCAAACAACACTACAACAAACTTTCTAGACAAAGCCTAAGTAAAAACAGCAGTGTAGGGTTCCCTGTTTATCTCTCTGATTGCTAACTCCAGTTTGCTCAGTTTACAAAGAACTCTGTATTTTTCCGACTCATGGACTAACCTAACACCAGAAAACTATCCTGCGCTGTTGCTGGTTTATGCATTTTTACCAGCAATAAAGATCCTCAGAGCTTACCTTAGTTCCTTGGATTCTGTTCTATGTCCACTTTTGGGTGAGGGCAGAAAGCTGATGTAGTACTTTTTTAAGTTCCTGTTTCATTAGCTGGACACAGCTGAACATGGCTGTGCACTTGGAACCAATTATTAATGTATAAGCCAGAATAGACTTCCAGTCACTCTGAGCTGCCTTGGCTCTTCAGTGCTAATTAATCCAAAGTAATAAAAGCTTTTTTTCTTCTCAGTAAAGTCAGCAGATCTATATATTCATATGGCTGCCAATACACAGTGGGAGTTGATCTGCTGGGTGGGAAGCTGGCATTTTTAGTCACTTTTCCAAGTGTAATTACACATTGAAAGGAGAGAACTATTCACTGTTTGCATTAGAGATTTGGGATATGACAGTGAAACAGACCAAAGTGACATCTGTTCTGTCTCCCATGTGTAATAGTAGCTAAAGCCAAATAGCTTGCAAGGTACAAAAGAAGCATCACATGCCTATTGGTGCAGTATTGTAGGATAAAGGACAGTGTCCTTCTGCTACCAGCTGTGATCCATTCATGTTCTGAAGACAGAAGGCCTTTGCCATTTGTCTGAGTTACTGTAATTGCAGATGACCTT